AACCTTTTTCCTGCCATAGATTTCTAGCGGTCAATCAGCCGGATTGACCAGCGGTCAATCAGCCGGATTTGCCGCACTTTCCCACAAGTCAGCATGTTCTAAATGCATGGGAGTTTCTCTGAAAAAATTTTTCGCTTGTGCTCACTGGACATGACGTATTTTAGTAAGAAATCTCGCTCTGGGATGCGCCATTCAATCGTCTGTGGTGCGTAGTCGCAGTGGTAGTTGAAAGTCTGTCCTCCTTTGCCACTTAGCCATGCCTTGGCAGCTTCTAATTTTGTGAATGGTACTTGAGGTTACGACTCCTCCCTTCCATTGGCCAAATACGAACCCCCTGGTTGTTCTTTGCGCAACGAGAAGCTGCTGACCTGGGCTTGACTGCCGCCGTAGTCGTCACTGTTTGTTCCACATTACCGTTTAACCAAAAGAGGAAGAGAGAACATGAAGCGAAATTTATAAGTGGAGACTTGATCGAAAAATAGCCATGTCACCTCGGACCATCAAATTCGCAGGGAACTTGCTCGTAGGGATAGTTGATCGGAGAAACACGAACATCCACTGGTTTGTCGAGAAACTGTTTCTAGCCAGGTGCCGGGCGTGACGCTTATGTGGTACAGCCATCGCTTGTAGTGCGGTGGCTAGGAGTCTATGCACTAAAGGACGTGATATTCTTATTTCACGGCTGAAACTGCCCTCACATTAAACCGAATCCATCTCCATTTACAAATCTCGAGAAAAATCCAGCTCGATCCGGAATAGTCTGGAGGTAATGAGTAAACAGTGCCAGAGTTCTCCATATGAATTCCTGAATGTGTGCGTGTGTCATGAGTTTTCTGGCCAGCGCAGATTTAAATCGGGAATATCCAAAATTTCCTGTTTCCTTTGCTTTGGTTAGGCTGGGCTGCTGCCGTGGTTACAAGCTGACAAGAAGAACAGTAAACATCCATTGAATCCGAAAGACATAAGTAGTTTCTTCATTGTATACGTGGTTTCTGGGTGACATGGCGAGCCACGCCAAGTGTACAGATGTCCGTTATAGTTTATTTATTGGGTTGTAAGGAAAGTTTTTGCCGTTTCAGGCAGTGTAAGTTTCAGTGCATTCATACTGCGCGAACTGCGGTGCCTCTTGCCACTAACCCTCCCTTGCTTTTCTGAGATCATTAAATGATCTCTTCTAATTCCCTTGTTTTTCGCTTTTCCTCAGCTGAGTCTGGTCGATCACAGTTTCCAATCATTTTCGAAATCGTTCCTTCTCATTGTTCCGTTCTTCCAAAATAGTGGAGGGATGATAGTTCGCACAGCCCGTGTAATAATTCCACTATGCTATAGCTAAATAAATGACCAACTTACTCTCGTGAACAAATTTTTCTCTACAGGAAACATTATGGGAGCAGCAACTGATCTAGCTAGCGATTGTAGCGGTTTTATCATCCATAATGGATGCGTGGCTTATACTAATGTGTCGGCCAGCGGGCATCAGGCCCTAACTTTTGACGCAGCTGAACGTGCAATTCGCTTGTAGGAAGTTTAGCACTTCCTAGTCATCGGCATCCTCCCATCGGTGGTCGCTGCAAAAATGGATAGAGCTGAGCTGAGAAAATGCAAGCAGCGGTCGTAGCGAAATCCGCAACGCCCAACGGGAAAGGGTCGTACTCGGCCCCAGGGTCAACCGCCCGTTGAGCAGATCCCAACGTAGGGGTTTTGTTGAAGTTTTTTTTGGGGGGGGGGGGGGGTGGGTTGAGTGGGCGTATTTAATGTGGACAAAGGTCAAAAGGTTTAAATGGCTCAACGATCATTTTGGCAGAAAATGTGGTTGGAGTATGTTCAACTGGTCTCAGTATCAAATGTTATGCATCGAAACAGTCAGGCGAGGGTTGTGGTAGGGGTGAGGAGGAGGTCGGAAGAGGAATATCCTTGACTTTCTCCCTGATGGTGTTGGTAGGAAGTGATATCGAGACCCTTCCTAAGGAGGTGGTGGTGGGTGTCAAATTCCTGGAACTGGAAACTGACAATTCATCCTGTTTGGCTCTTTGCGAGGAGTGTCGTAAATATCTAACTGTAAGCCAGCAAAAACTGAGCACTGACAATCTGTCCGAGAAAAGACGAAAATCGTGACTCCGGTTTAAGTTGCTGGATGTTGAGAGCACGGCGCATCCCTGAATGAGTATGATCTAATACCTGCGTTACAACTCATTTCTCATTTTCGTACATAGGTTATATGATTTCAGGAGATATTGCGTGCAATGCAGGAGAGTCAGGAGATTTTTCTTCAATAAAATTTGAGTGGATGGAGATTTCCTCTGCCCAGGGCTGGCGTAGATGAATGAGGGTATGAAGATTCTTTTCATGGAAGAAAACTTTCCAAATTCCATTTGAAACCGGCAGCCACGGTGGATGCCATTGCCCGAGTGAGATCTTTGTCAGCCACCGGTGGCTGACGTTGTCACGAATGGGTTAAGCTAAAGAGAACTTTTCTGCTGAACTCCTAGATCGGGGTGATATGCGGTTGTTGCCAGCGTGAAATTACATCAGAGCAGATTAATTTATCTCCCACAAATTTCCTGTTTCACTCGCGTTAGATAAATTTTAGGCTGGATTGCCGCCGTAGTCATAAATATGCTTCATATCATTGTTGGACCAAAAAAGCAAGCAAGAACATGGGAACGAAATTTGTAGATGGAGGTGGATTTGGCTGAAAAGTTGTCCATTGTAGGTTTTATTGTAGAACACGAATATCGCATCTGGCGCAAAAACGTTTGGCGCCGGCGCCATGTCATCTTGGACCATCATGTTCGCAGTGAACTTGTTCGTAGGGATAGTTTGATTAGGGAAACACAATCATCTACTGGTTTGTCGAGAAAATAATTCAAGCCTAGTGCCGGGCGCTAAGCGAATGTGGTAGCATCAGCACGCCCATGAAGCGCGCAGGCTAGGAGTTTATGTACCGAACGGGTGTGATATTCGTATTCAAGGGTCAACCCCCCTACGACCGCGGGAAACACTTTAGCCGAATCTATCTGTATTCACAAGTCAGTTTGGGAATAGCGGGGAAGTAAGGAGTAAATCGTACCAGAAATTTTCTAGCGGAATCTCCAGAATTTTCTATCTCGTTTGCCTTGAATAATGTGCTTGACATTGTAGGTCGTTATATTTAATGGAGTGAATTTTATTTATTCATTTATATATTTCCTTTACGACACAACGACACTTGATCACTGATAATGTTGAACTTGAGAGCTTTCACTTTCAAGCTAACAGGCCTACTTCACACCATACCCCCTCACTCCCTTCCATCAGCGTTCTCTGAATGTTCGGTCATGATATTCTGCTCTGCCCATTCACTTGCATCCAGAGTCAACCATGCGTTGCGGAGAATTCAAAATTTTTACGACCCCCCCCCCTTTCGGAGGGTATCAATAGACCCACTCCCACCGTTTGAGCTATTGTGTCTTTTACATATTTTTATGCCATCATCGACATGGGTCATGGAGATGGATGCCGTCACGGAGATGGGGAGGTAAGTACGCGCACTTTATCTCGCTCCGAGAACGGGCCTCGAGACCGCCTGAAAATATTCCCATTAAATAGAGGTGTTCCCAAATTTTTGCATAATCCTAGGCATGAAAGTGATCGCAGAGATTTGTACTTTCAGAAATCTGCCTTGTTTTTTTTTCGAAGTACCAAATCTTCTTATGATATAAACTTAATCCCCCCCCCCCCCCCCCCCCCCCCCCCCCCCCCCCCCCCCCCCCCCCCCCCCCCCCCCCCCCCCCCCCCCCCCCCCCCCCCCCCCCCCCCCCCCCCCCCCCCCCCCCCCCCCCCCCCCCCCCCCTTTTTTTTTCTACATACAATTTACTATATCTAAGACCAAACCTGATTGAGCATTTGTTTCATTTGCTATTTGTTATGTCTTCAATGTGAATCGGCCTAGAGTCGAACTTGACTTCTTCCCAATTTCTTAGTAATCTTTTCCACATATTGTGAGAGCACGAGCGGCGCTTGAAAAACTACGCTTTCTCTGAACCCTTTCCTCCTTAGACAAGGACCCACTGATAGAATACCCTCAACTGCTTCATATTGCTTGCTTTGGATTTGTTTTTCTGACATACTGAATGCAGGATAATTTTCCATGACTAAAGAATGGCTCGAATTCGTTATGAACGAATCCGAAAATCTATGTTACACATCCACATTAAAGCTCAGAGACCCATTAGTTCTGGAACATTCAAAAAAAGTAAGAAGTAGGAAGCAAAATTAAGGTATAAAAACCAACTTCATATTTTCGGTTGCCAGTATCCATCGCTTGCCTTTCGTGCCAGCTACAAGCGCTATATGAGAACTTCTATTTGGATCGCGACGAACTTCCAAGACTCGCTCGTCATATGTTTTTCCTGGTTCTGTAGGTCCTCTGAGAAGACACATATTCTTTTGCATTTGAGATATTCGTTCACCTTCAGAACAGACATTAGGCGCTGCCGAAGGTTCAAGTGCACATGTCTGCTCAAGCTCTCTGATTAAAGGCAGTACGGACAGGAAAGAGAGCTAAAATTTATATTTGGCTACTTAAAGATATGGCTTTCGAAAGTGGAGTCTCTCATGAGGTATTTTCTGCTGCCCATTCTTGAATTTATGGGCAGATTTATCATTGGAATGAAAGTGAATCGACTGTAAGAAGCTCTTGATTTAAGACTGGGACCCGAATGCGTATCAGTAGTTTTCTCCTACATTTCTTTTGAAAAGAAAGGTGGGAATTGTGGACCTACTCCAAAAGACTGCTGAGGAAGTACATGAACTTTTTGCAGCACCTAACATTAAAAAACTTTGCAAAAAACGTAACAAGCTTCAAACCTGCTGTGGTAGTCAATCATGAAGTAGTCAAACTTGACTCCACCACCTATATGTTGATTTATCTTACGTCCTGTTTCAGGATGACGCCCACCAAGCCTGAACGAGGATTTTCAAGTGTCATCAGAGAAGACGAAGGCACGAAAACAGCTCACCGATTTATCTTGCATAGGCTCGGGCGTGTACTGTCCACCACTTTTCTTCTTCAAATCTTCTAGGTCCCAAAGGTACCGCGGCAAAGGCTTTGTTCCTCTCGCTGGGAGATAACGCTTTGCCACAATCTAAATTTTACATGCAGCACCCTGTGGCTATATCTGTAGAAATCTGCTAAAATTGACAATAACGTCCTTCAATTTCAACCACCCAAACCACCGTGGCCCTTGAATTCTGACCCACGCCTCACTCAAGGATTGAAGCTACTGTGGTGATTCTCCTTTTATCGGTGGGATGGGATGGTTTCATGGTCAGTCGTCTTTGAGATAATACGATTGGCGTATAGAGGTAGGAAGTTACATTCAAGAGGGGGGGGGGTCTTGTTATGAAACGAGGTCCGAACACAAGAGAAACAAATCATGTGTATAAAAATGAGACGATTGTGGGCAAACTAC